CCACTTGCAGAGTATCTGGTCTTCTACGTTTCCGTAATGATCTCCTAATTGGATTTTGTTCAGGTTGCACAGCCTTCTGAGTCGCTGAACTTTTCATATCGAAACTGTCCAAAAAGATTTTCCACATTGAGCTCAGTTTCTCGGATTTCTGTGAAGTTGCAGCATTTTCCAGTATGTGATTGACAATGACGTGTCCACTTCTGACCAACTTCCACCACATGCATTACATTTCCTCGCCTCTTAAGTATGCGTTCACTGGTCCATTGCGGAGGTGAATATCAGAAATCACGGACGTATACTTTTTGATTATTTTGCAAGATTCTACGTCTCTCCCCATGATGGCGATTAAATTGGATTACCATCTTTCGGTTTCTTCTTCCTATGCTATTTTGCTCTAGTTTAATAGCATCGAGAGAAGTTTTACCTTTTCTGCCAAACATAATTTCTGTCGGAGACATTTGGTTTGGTGCTGATGAGTTTGGAGTTGTTCAGTAGACCCATAGAAAATTATCAAGAATTTTCTTTATATTTCCCTCCCCTTTTCCCTTCAACAGCGCTCTTTTAAATGTCCATGAACTCTTACTTTATGTGGACTGAATACCTAGAAATGTCATGCATAGATAACGTAGTAAGTTCTTCATTCTGTTCACTCGGCTCCCGATTATATGTGATTTGGAAATGACAACCATAACTAAGCTAATGCAAAACACGAATAACTTGTTCTATGAAGAAGGCTGTTTCCAAACAAATCTCTTCTAAACATTTCACTTCCATTCATTGTATATTACATCTTATGCGATCTTAGTCTGATACAACTAATCGTGAGAATTTAGTTGGAAATTAGTTACGTTTATAGTGCTGAGAAGTTAACAACTCCACACAGAAGCAATTATATGACTATGTGACAAAAGAATAATAACATGACAGTACGTGATCAAAATAAACTAATACCGCATTACCGAACGAAGACATGAAATCGTGGAAAATTAAGGACAAGTTTGTGTTCAATGAGTACAAATTAAAAGCAACATCCTTCCATGAGATTTAATAAAACACGAAATTTGTATCTTAGAATTTATGTTACGATTTTCGATCGGCAACCCAAGTGTTCTATTTTGAAATGAAAGTTCAACTAGCGCGTACACACATTTATTTGACCAACCAATTTATCAAGTCAATTCATCATGATTTTCATTGGTTAAATAACACAGTAGAAAAGTATATAAACACTTGAGTGATGCCACAAAATTAAACCTTCAAAATGAACATGCATAAGTGTTTATTCTTGGTCTCCTTATTGCTCGCCAGTGTGATCTGTAAGTTACTAATTTCTGTTTTCTTATGTATCTTAGAATTTATGTTAATATTCGCGATCGAAATCATTCGGATACTTAGATGACAAAGTGGCTTCGATCATTTCAACAGTTCTCATCCAGAGACTTACAATCAATCACGTACTGTGTGTGGAACCGTAAAATCCACAAGTACCATTATTATCGAATAAATACCTGTTCTCAAATGATTAATTCACAATCGTCACATCAATTTTAACTCACCAACAGGAAAGAAATTGAAATCTCAGTTAACAACACTTCAGTAGCAGTATCTTGAGTAAGTATCTATTATTCTGTATTGGCTGGTACGTAGGTCAGTCTTGCTTCTGAACAGATTTACGTAATTAAGGAATAATAACACCACCATTTAAACAAAACACCATCAGTAGTAGTGGATAGCTCATCCCGCTGTGAAACATAGATAGGTAATCTACGTTCCAGTTTGAATTTCACGCTTTTTATATAGCACTGAGTATATATTCAAAGTATCGACGAGTCTCACTAATGAGATCTAGACGTCACACCGGTCAAGGTTGCACCAACAAACAGTATGCAATATTTAACGGTTTATTTTTCAATGATTGTCGATATACGTAGTCAACTTTTCGAATTTGTTTGGAACTTCTTTGCTAAATCATGAAGTCACAGACATTCAAAGCGATACCCATCGTTGAATCACAGCAGGTGAGAAATATCCTATGGACTTTTCAGGGTGATTAGTGAACTTAAAGGCTTCATGATCTGTAAGATTAGTGAACTTTTATTTCAAACAAATATTTATGAAGTCTTTTAACAGCCCGGAACACAGCTGACTTTGCGAATAATTTTGTCTAGCAAAAGTAAGTTCTCGTGAAACACGGATTACTGGTCTACCTTCCTGCTCCAAAACTGCATGAATGCCCACAGGTGATGCATCAGTTATAAGTGCAGTTTGCACGTTAAGGGGGTATGTTCAAAGAACAGCATCACTTCGAAAAAAAATTAGTAGACTTTGTGAACATGACTCTCGTTCCTCATTCCATTTAAACGAATTGGATGTCAAGATTTGAAGCGAACAATTAACCAAACAAGAAAAATTAGAAATTAAACGGGAATGGTATTGAAGAACATTTATTAGCGAATGTAGTTTTGTAAGATTTTTAGGAGATGGCTCATTTATGGAGCTAGTCGCCTTATATCTGGTTTAAACGATTGCCATCAACTAGACATCCAATAAATCTTAAGCTAGATACAAAACATGAACACTTATTTGTATTCTCAGTAAAATTCTTCTTAGTTCAATGACGCAATAGGGCAATAAATCTCTGATCATGAGCTACTTCAGTAAAACTAATAAGAACGGCATAATCTCAATAAACTTCAACACCTTTAGGATTACTGACTACCTTGTTCACCACTTCCTGAAATATCGCTAAAGAACAACTTACACAAAATGGAAGGAAGCTGTTTATGAATAGCGTTAATTGTTGTCAAAATAGATTAAGATTGATCTAAGGGGATTTAAAGATAAGCAACTGAAAATCCAAGTTTAGAGAATTCCTTAGAACTATGAGGTCGATTAAGAATATTTTCATCTCCCACCGTCATGCACGTCTGCTTTAAGTAACAGGAGTTCAGTGTTAATCGATAACCACCACATATTCTGGGGGTCTTGACATCAGACTTCAAAGGTATAGTAATAAGACTACCCTATGTTCAGGGCTGGTTAGCTTCATTTCTAGGTTTTGCACACAAATAGTTCAACGTCTTATGTACTGCTTCTCGAAGACCATAAGGAATTATTCGTCCTTTAAGAAAGACCAAATCACCCAGTACTTGAAATTTTATAGATTGCATTATCATCCGTTTGCCGCACTTAGCACACGCAGCTATGAAAATTTTTTACATAAAGTAACAAAATCTTCCTTAGAAAATAATAAAAACAACTTTACATC